AAAAAAAAAAAAAAAAAAAGAATTTGAGGTAGAGGACATTGGACTACATATCTGTTAAGCCATGGTTTGTGAGTTGGAGTGGGTAGAAGAGATTATAAACACTGGGTCTGGCACATTTGTACTCTCCAAGAATTCTCACCTGTGAATGTAACTTCATATAATTGTGCCATTTATTAGCAGCCTTTACATGGAGTAGACATCTAACAGTTGTACTTCATTAGATGGAATTTTTAAAAGGCTCTGAAGGGAATAGTGGGCACCTGTGGAATAAAAGATATTTATATTCTTCGCTCTAGTGGACCATTAACCAAGGTGATCCAAACTGGTATCTGTTACACACATACTAGCACTGTGTAGAAAGTGTGCTGCTAGGAATGTGGGCTATGAGAAAGATAGGATTGTAGAGTAACTAAGATTGCAAGTCCTGTAGATGTAGATTTGAATCTTGGAGCTGATATTTCACTTGTAAATTTGGGCAAGTTATTTAATTTTTTTGGATCTTAACTGTCTCATATCTTTTGAAAGTGAGTGGTCATTGTGAGCATTAGAGATTAGTGCGTAATGCATACAACCTAGTAATTAGCAGAATAGGCACTCAGTAAATGGTAGCTATAACTCTTAACTTCTCTTACAGCCATAAATGAAGTAATAGACTCCTTTCCTGAAGTTCACTTAGGATCAGGGAGAAAAGTTGCATACATAATGTATAAAAAAATCAAGATAGGAAGTCATAAATACTGTAAAATGTCCATACTCATGGGCTGTGGAAACTCAGAAGCAGAAACATTAGAGTTGGATTTTGAAAGATGACTGATCTGGATATGTGTTAAGGAGAGCCCCAAGGTGAACACGGGCCTATGACAAAGGGAGTGCACCACTGATGCCAAGGCTACCCTGGAGGCACTGTGTGAAGAGATGCACCATGGTTGGAAGAACAAGGTTCTTGGAAGCTGGTTTTAGGCCCAGGATGACAGAGAATGAACAGGGACAAAGGCCCTCAGGGGGGTACTGTGCACGGGAGCCGGAAGGAGGTCCAAAGATTCAGATGGATGTTAAGGGAAAGGGGAAGGACCTGCTCTACATAGGCACAGCAGGTATGTGCGCCCAGGTTCCAGTGAATCCACAGCAAGCACATTCTCACTGACACTTTCGAAGCTTTTCACAGACTTAGGAAGAGCTCTTTCCTATTTATTTGTGTTAAGCTTCTATCACAGAGATCTACAATTTCCTTTTTTAAGGCTCAAAACATGTCTTTATATAGTTTTATTTTGTGACATGAAAAATCTATTTTTATAGTTTTGAACAAAAATGATTACTTGTAGTTCTAATTCTAAAATTAATGAAATATGAAAGCCTTTATATTAAAGAGCCATTTGTTTTTAGTTAACCTTTGTTTATGCAGCTTTCTTTCTTCATAACTATTTTAAATTAGGTTTTTTTTCCTCTGGAAGTTGTTGGTTATCAACTGTAGTCCTTTTTCTTTTTAAGTTTATTTTTAACTGATACATAAAACGTGGTGCCATGTGATGTTTTGATACATGTATACATTGCATAATATTTAAATCATGTTAAACTTTATCATTTCTTTTATTTTTTTTTTTGGTACCGGGGATCGAACTTGGATCCTTGCACTTGCAAGGCAGGTGGCAGAACCACTGAGCTAAATCCCTGGCCCTTTATCATTTCTTTATGGTAGAAACATTCACACTCCTTTCTTGGAGCTTTTGAAATATGCAGAACATTATCATTCTTTGTACTTAGCCTTCTGTGCAGTAGTAGCCCAACAGAACTTCTTTCTGACATCTAATTTTAATTTAGTATCTTTTGACCAGCCTCTCTTTAAATCTCCCTTTCTCACTGCTCTTCATCCTCCGGTAACCACTATTCTACTGTCAACTTAGAGCAACTTTTTTCAGTTTTATGTATGAGTGAAGTCATAAGATACTTGTCTATCTGTGCCTTGTTCATTTTGCTTAACATAATGATCTCAGGTTCTGTCCATCTTGTTAGAAATGACAGGATTTCATTCTTTTTAATGGCTGAATAGTATTGCATTTGTGTATATGCCACATTTTTTTACCCAACCACCAGCTAGTAGACACTTAGGTTGTTTCTGTTTCTTGGCTATTGTGAATATTGCTGCAGTGAAAGTGGGAGTGCAGATATCTCTTTGACACTGATTTTATTGCCTTTGGATATATAGCTAGGAGGGAGATTATTGGATCATATGGTTATTCTGTTGTTAATTTGTGGGAAGAACCTCCATAGTGCTTTCCATACTGGCTCTACTAATTTATATTCCCATCAGCATTGTACAAGGTCTCCCTTTTCCCCACATGTTGGCCAGCCCTTGTTATCTTATATTTTTTGGATAATAGCCCATTTTACTGGAGTGAGGTGTTACTTCTTTATAGTTTTGAGTTATATTTCCATGATTATTAATATTGAGCATTTTTTCATATCCCTTTAGGTCATTTGCATGTTTTCTTTTGAGAATGTGTGTTTAGGTTTGTTGCCCATTTTTAAATAGGCTTTTCTTTGGCTATTGAATTTTTTTTATTACGGCAAACTCAGCTTTGCCATTTCAATGAGAAAACAGCCATGGATGATTCATAATGCAAGGGGCGTGCCTGTGTCTCATGGTACAGCCAGGATGAAGTGGCCAGTATACTCAAGGATGGATCTAGGAGAGGCTGAAAAGATTGGGTTTTTTTCTTCCTCATCCATCGGTGGGGCCTTCCTGTATATTTTCTGAATTTGGGAGCCTGTGTCTCAACACTTGGTTTTCCCCTTACTTTAGTAGCCATGTTTTTTGGCCCCATTATGCTTACTTATGTATTTGCTTTCTCTGTCATCAGTTTAAGAAGTTCATAGAAGTGAAATATTTTGGCTAATGCAAGTTAACATTCTAGTTTTGTGTAGTGTAAACAGAAATAGCAGTCACTTATGTCTCAATACTGGTGGGCCCAAGACTGAGCCTACAACTCCATGGGCTGTCTTATCTGCCCATCTGTTTCATAGCAGCCTTTATCAGGCCAACTATCAGCTTCAGTGGACACATCCCTCTGATATGGAAGCATATTTTGCCATGCTTTCAGTTTCATATTATGAATCTAGTATTTTATAGTATCATATAAAACATAGAGAATAACTTTCAAATGAAATATTGCACATTTTAATTAATTTTAATAAAATTTAATGTCAGTAAATTGTGGTTTTAGAGAGTTGATCCACAGAGATATTTTCTGAGAACCAAATCACATGTTGGAATTGTGCTCAAATAAGAAAACCTATTTATACAGTTTCCCACAAATTTCAATTTCTTAGATTAAATTGAAATGATGTCTAAGAAATTGATTGCTTTATTTTCAGTTTTCACTTGTAATATTTGATAGTATAATCAGGATGAGGCATTGAACTCAGAGGGCTGATTTACTAGCTATAGGCTTTTGAGTAAATCATTTCCTAACACTTTAGTTTTTCTGCCTGTTTTATGAATTTTAAATAAGAACTAGTTATGAAGTATAAAATATTTAAATTATACAAGTAGCAATAAATTTTAAAAATTACTTCAGACTCTACTTGCATTCTGACACTAATTCTTTTCTTTCTTTTGAACCATAAAGCTTGATGACCTCACACAAGACCTCACTGTTTCCCAGCTCAGTGATATTGCGGATTATCTGGAAGATGTTGCATAGACATGAAGAGAAAGTATTCAAATTAACAATGGACTGATCAACTCCATTTTGGGTTTTTTTATTTTTGGACAATCAGGTCTTTGCTGGAAAGTATGCGCCCTGTTGGTGCCTTGCATTGCAAAAAGACTGCAGATTTTTAAAAAAGTAACTTTCCATTTTACTAAAAAAAATGTGTCCTAAGTGAGCCCATGTGTGGACGATTTAATATTCTTATTTTGGTTTAGCTATACATTTCTCTCTGGTAATTATCTAACTCAAGTTTATTATGGGAGATAATCCATTGAAACATCAATGTTAAGATCATGAAATGTTTGGTTGGGAATTTAGCCCAGTGGTAGGGGCCCTGGATTTGGTCCTAAGTACCAAAAAAATTTTATAAAGCCTGAAAGGTGTCAGTGAAGCTGTAGACTTGCACATCTCTGCGTTTGTGTGGCTGCTGATACCCATGATCCTTGAAAACCATAGCTTCAGCCATCTGACAGCAAAGCTTACCTAGCTACTCAGTGTATTTTTTTATGACATTTACTCAATATTCTTTAATATGTGGGTTTTCTTGTGTTATGTGATTTTTTTTGTCATTTGAATATTTTAAAATGTCAGGATTTATATGACTCAGAAGGCCTCTTTGCTTCCTTTTTGTAACATTTTTCTTGATGGGAAGGAGATAAAAGTAACGCAATAAAAGAATACAAAAATGTGCAGATGCCTTGGAAAGGGAGGAGACAGTCCAAGTCCAGTATCTCCTTCTAAACTGCAACATGCTGTGATCTCATATATTCTGATTCCATGTGGGCTTTCAACAATCATTACAGGATCCCAGGAAACACGACCTGGGTAGGACACAGGATGATGCAGACAAGTGGTATTCTTCCAACACCACAAAATTGGCTTCTTAAAAGTATGTATAACTGTGAGTTTAAAAAAAAAAAGTAAATTAACACATGGCTCTGGACCCTGGCTCTCACCTTAGAGAAAACAGCAACCAACTGCTTGGTCATTATGCTGATTACATTATGGATTTAGCCAGCTGTATTTTGTTTCCTTTAAACATAACTTGCTTGGCAAATTCATTAGGATTAAGCCCCACGTTCTCTTTTAATTTGTTGAGTTCAAAATCGTGAAGAATCCTGATAATCATTAACTTTTCTTATGTAAGTCTGTCCATAACATCTTTAGGAACATCCAATATCATCCAGGCCAAAAATATGACAAGAAACACAATGTGTTCCATAATTGTGATGAATGCCATCTTGAGAACAAGGACATGCCAGAATTGCATATTATGAAAGTATTTATTCTCATCTCCAGGAGTATTTCTGTAATCTTTGTACCTGCAAGTTATGAAGTCTTGTTTATCCAAAGGTGTGGTTTGGAAAATCAACTGTCAGGAATATTGATAAGCTGTTACTGACACATCCATTCAAAAGCTGTGTGGTGTTTGTTGAGTAGGCATAGTAGTAAACAGGGAAATGATGTGTGATGTAAATGCAGTAGTAAAAGCATTAGTTGCAACAGAATAGGCAGCCATTCCAGAAGGAATGTCTTGCCAGGGCCAAGATTTAGCTCAGTGGTTCTGCTGCCTGCCTGACAAGCGCAAGACCAGTTTTGTCAAACACCTATGCTATGAACTTTAGCAGTTACAGGTCTCCTAAACTGAGTTGCAAGTTGTCAGACATCTACTTGGATCTTTACATTATTTAAGAGAGCAAAAAGAGGAGCAAAGGAAAAGAGCCACAAATAGTGTGACAAATCCATACTATTTCTAAGTAGTCATAGAACAACCCAGGTTGTCCAGAACTTTCAAGATTGTGATTCTGCTTTCAGTGACTGAGCATTGGTCTGAGACTTTTGACATCTTCACCAATTAAAAACCAAGGGATAAATGGCTTTCTTAATGTTTATGAAAATATACTCCAATCATGACGGTCAACTGGATTATTGTCAGTTCTATTAAACAGCCTCCAGGATCCCACTATAACAAATTTTCCTGATTAGCCCACAGACTTCCCTTTAAAAAAAGCTACATAGAAGCAGGACAAGTAAAATTTTACAAACTGAAAGGGGAACACTTTCAAAGACTGCTCATATTTCTGGTAAGTTTGAGAAAATTCCATGCAGCTGTAATCCATGAAGCAGTCTTTTCATAAAAGAAATTCCGAATCAATAACAGTAAAGTTCAGGCATGATCCTGTGAGTGTTGTGGCTAACTGGGGAGTAAAGATCATTCTAATCTCTGATAAAGATGCTTCACTTTCCATGAAGTTAGCAGATGTTCAAGTGGTGCATGATTATAGCTGCCATACTGGTGACAAGAACCATAATGTCATTGTCAATCCTGCTAAGAAGTACCACGGAATATGACTGTATAGAAGCATGTAAGGTTCTGTCTCGTTGGTCACTGCATTGATTTTCCTGTGTTTACACATGGCTTCAAACTTGGATCTCAGCTGGAACTGCTACTACTTCTCAAAGTAGCCAGATTCCACTCTTATCCCAATCTGGATCATCACTTTTTTCAAAACTCCAAAAACAACATGACAACCTGAGTTTGTTGGCAAATAGTAGTGAGATTTCTTTATCATCTGTTCTCTCTGAATCTAGGCTGTGAACATTTGAAAGGACACTCTTGACCCATTATCAGGTAATGGGAGAACTTTGAAGCCAAACAGGTAATATTTTAGTCTCCAGTAAGCACACACTTGATCACAGAGTGAACATATGATTGTGTGACCTCCATCATTACGGTCACAGATTTCAATGCTTCTTGGGTTATTGTCCATTGATAATAAGCCATGAATAAAGTGCAACTATGCCAACCAAATCTTCAGTGAACAGAATTTCTGTGGAAAATCCAAAAAAGGCAATAATAATAATATTAATCCCTAGTCAAATCCGAAGGCTGCTCCTTGTAAAATTAGGAAAACCAAGCCCAGTTCATGTGAAGTATGTATCTTTCATTGACAGGATTGAGAGGGTCTTATAACTCCCAGTATTAGCTTTGAAGTGGTGCCATATTCTGTGAAGCCCTCTTCCCAGCTTCAGGGCAGGTCTGTGTATCATGTGGCCTAAGTTGAGCTTGCCAGCGTGAGGGTGCACCCATGTTGTGCAGCACAGCTAGTTACTTTCATCTCAGTCCTTGCATGGTTCAGCTGGCTCCAGGCAGAAAAGCATGGTGGAAGGAACTGGTGGAGAAAAGCATCTCATGACATGGTGTCCAGGAAGTAGAGGCTCACTTAGTGTATTCTGATACAGGATAGTTCTGCACAAGCAAAATAACCCTTTAAGTTTGTGATATAAGTTAAACTTGTTGTGTCAATTTTATTTTGTATTTCCTTCCATTTGGGAGGTTTGTTAGACCATTAAGGTTATATTAAAGTACTCTGTGTGTGCTACTTAGTTTTGCTTGATTTAGAGATTATGACTTTTAGTTCATAGAATTGCCAATAACTTAATATTTATAATCGCTTCTATTTCTCCTATTATGTGTGTAAGCAAGTAGTCACAGGTTCTCTTCACATAATTTAGTATTTGCAAAGATGCCTTGAAATATTAAATACCAAAATGCATCTGAAACCATTGAGCAGTGCTTTTATTTCAGATCCGTAAGTGATTATTTTTAAATCCAAATTGGAATAAAATAGTAGTAATGGCCTAGACCATACAAATTCAGTCTAACGAGCTTTATATACTGTATATAACTTCATTGTAACCCTTTAAAAATATGGACATTATTAGAATTTTCAGCAGTCTCATTGTGCTATTGTGATGTGGGCCACTGACATTTGTAATGCTAAGTTTTTAATAGGAAAACCAATTAAAATGATACATGTACATATAAATACAAGTAAAGTTATGTTTATATTAAATTTTTGTACTTTTCAATTATTACTTTTTTGGTAAAGTTACCATTATTAATTTTTTAAAAATTAAACATAATTTGTGGATCTCAATAATTGAGCAGACTCTGGTTTGCATAATGCCAGTTTTCCACTTCATATATGACCTAAGAATTACAAAAATAGGTTTTGGGCCCTAAAATGTAGAGGAAATGAAAATTGAGTAAGAATTAAGGCTATCTGACATTAGAATCTGGCTAAGTGAAACTGAGCTATAAGCCTCAACAGGAAGTAGGACAGAAAGTGGGCCAGGCAGCCTGGAAGCCCCCAAGTACTTGTGCCCTTACTTTGTGGCCCAGATCTGTCTCCATTGGCTTTTCACGTCTCAGGCCAGTAGTAAAGAGCACTGTGTGAAAATGTGATCTGTGCTTGTTCCACACTGTGTTTCCACTTTTAAAGTATTCTAGTTCTGTCCCTTCAGAGTCTGGATCAATTGCGTTATTTGTTTATAACATTTGATAGAAACTGCATGTGAGTGAAGTGGTTTGAGAGAACAGCAGGATGTGGCTTTTTAAATTTGTGGAAAACTTTGAAATAATAGCAACTGAATTCTGTTAACCAGAGATTGATCTTTCTGGATCAGTGAGGAGAAAAATAGCAAATTTGCAACTTTCTCATTAGCATTACATACATCTTACTGAATAATTGAGAATTACTTAACATTCAATTATGAAAAAGATTGGTTTCCATGTGTAGTCCTTACTTAGATATTAACCTTTTAAACCTTAAGATATGAAGTGTCAAGTTTTGTGTGTGGCTAGTATTTTTGTTAAAAAAATATTAACTCATGAAATACTTTTAATGGTAACCTGTATTTTATATTGGAGTTTTTAAAAATGCTAAGCCTTTCATTTTATTGATGAGAACTACACGTGAATAAAAAGCATACATCCCTTTTTTGCCTATTTTCTCCCATACCCCTGAGGTGTTACACAGTGTATGACAGCAGCAGCAGCTATTGTGCCGGTGTGGCTCCGAGTTCCTGCCTCACTGTAGCTCACCCTTCACTCCCTCCCTTAGTCATTGTGCAGGAGCTAAGCAGCACAGGCTGTGCAGGCCTTCCCTCTATCTGTCTCCAGATGCTTGTGTTTGCCCTTCCTTGCCTGCAGTGTCCTTCCCCAAAACTGCACGAGGCTGATTTGTCTGGTTGTCATTTTCAGAAAGCTTCTAGACTAAGGGAGATAACCCTCCATTATACACACTATCATGTTTACCCTTTTATTTTAATTTCTCATCACTCTGGATGATCTTCATTTATTTCCTTGTTATTTATAAGCTCCATGAGAGGTTATGTAGATCACTGTATACCTATAACAGCATTTTTCCCCTTAGAAAAACTCAAAAAATAGGGGTGTGAAAAGACTTTGTAAGCACTAGCAGAGGTTGGGGGAGTATAGGTTCTACAACTGCTTCTCACAGATAGCTTCATACAGTTTTGGTTTGTTCATACAGCAGTTTTCTGTTATCCCTACACTAAACCTAGAGTACCCTCAGCTTCAGGTCTGCTGATGTGGTGGCACAGTAGAAGCTCATCCACCAAAGACCATCTGGAGCCCTGCCCACAGAAAGAAGTGCCCTCTCTCTGGCTCTGGGGTGGACAGTAACACTTGAGAGAAGCAGAGTGCCCTTGAGGTCACTGGACCACCTGAGAAGCTGCACTCTTCTGCTGGAGAAGCATGCATCCAGCCCAAATGCACTGCCCACTCCTGTGTTGAGCATCAGGTTAGGAAGGGTACTCTGTAGTTCTGTGCCAGCGCTCACTGATCCCACTGTTGTTTTCCTGACAGTCCATACTGCACGTTCACTTATTGTAGGACAAGCATATCTGGAGAGCCAGAAGAGCCTGAAACAGACCCAATTGTGAGATTTTTTTAAAAATTAATTTTATTGGTACACTTCTAACATACATAATGATCACATTCATCACAGGGAATTTGTAGAGGTACATATCTTAATACTTTTTTCCCATTCCCCTCCCCTCCAATCCTTCCCCTTTCCCTTTACAAAACTTTGTTTCTATTTTCTTTCCTTTTTTTTCTTTTTTATACCTATTCCCTTCTTTCTCTTCCCATTCCCCCATTCCCTGTTTCCCTTCCCATTTGAACATATTCTTACTACTTTTCAATATCTTTCATCCATTTTGGTCCTTATTTATCCTTTGAGTTTCTCACACAAGAGAAACCAAACATGTATGTCCAATTTATTTCATTTAAAATTATGTTCTTCAGGTGTATCCATTTACCTCAAAATGTCTCAAATTTACCCTTTATGGCAGAGTAGTACTCTATTAAAAACCACATTTTATGCATTCATCCATTGAAGGGCATCTGTGCTATTTTTTTTTGTTGTTGTTTTTTCCTCATTGAGTTTATTGGTACATTTTAGGTATACAGTACAGTTACATTCACCATTGGGATCTTGTACCTTTACATGACAGGTCTTGGTTCTCATTTTTTCCCCTTGTCCCTGCCCTGCTATCTGTGCCGTTTGTAACATTTAGCTACTACAGCTTGTGCTGCTGTAAGCATGGGTGTGCATATATCACTCTGGTACAATGCTTGGAACTCTTCCAGGAAGATACCTAGAAGGGGAATAACTGGGTCAAATGGAACCTCTGATTTTGTATTTTTGAGAAATTTCTATACTGATTTCTGTATGGGTTGTACCAGTCTACACTCCCACCAACAGTGGAGAAGGGTTTTCTTTTTCCTCACAGCCTTGCCAGCATTTGTTACTAGTTGATTTCTTGATAATAGCCGTTCTTTCTGAAGTAAGATGAAATCTCAGTATTGTTTTAATTTGCATTACTCAAAGGGCCAGTAATGTTAAACATTTTTTTGTATATTTGCTGTTTGTACCTCTTCATTTAAGAAATGT